GCCGTTGGTTGTTACTGCGTCACATCGACACCTCCTTCCACGTGCTCCCGAGATCACATTTCACGGCTCACAACGGCTATGTCGATCATCTACCTAAAATGGTTTCCCAGGGTAATAGTGGTAATAAAGGTTTTAAGGAAAAACTATGCTTAATGGGTTATATAACAAATAAGGGTTTTAAGTAATAAAGGATGTAAAGGGGGTATATGAGGGATAATATGTTAAATAGGTTTAATACGTTTAGTACCTTTAAGAGTGCATATGTAATAAACCAATATATAATAAAGGCTTCGAATGGGTAGTTCGTGCTTGTAATAACATTTGACCCTAATACTTTCCTGCTTTCGCTACATTATAATACCTACACCACTCTCCAAATCTAACCGCCAAAGCCATTCGTAGGTTACACGACATATCCATTTGTCAAGCGACTGACTTGCCGTTTCGTTCGTGTCAGTAGATATAATGGTAATAAGGGTTTAAAAGAAATCTATAATTAAAGTGATATATATTAATTAAGTGTTTTAAGTAATAAAGGGCAGTAAAGGGGTATACGTTGGATAATATGTTTGATATGTTTAATAGCTTTAGGAGTGCGTATGTAATAGAAGATATATAATAAAGGCTTCGAGCCCTACAAGAGCAGTCAGTTTGCGCTTGTCATAAAATTTGACCCTAATAATTCCCTGCTTTCGCTACATTATTATGCCTACGATCATAAATAACCAACTCGACAAATCTAACACGCCTCTTATCGACCAAGCCGTTCGTAAGTTACAAGATATATCCGTTTGAGAAGCGACTGACTCGCCGTTTCGACCGTGTCAATAAATTTGCAGATCATACCTAATTAGGTAACGTTTTTGATTCCATACTCCATAGATTTAAATTTTTTCAAGAATTTGAGTAGAGATATTTAACTTAATTCAATATTTTTTTTAGATTTTGATTCGACTATTTTATAGAATCAAAATAAAAAAAATTCAGTGAATTTGGCAGAGATATCTCAGTCAAAGTTTTGAAAACATCAAAAAATAATAGTTGCGGTAAAATTTTTATACAATTTTGAGTGATACTTAGAAACTATCCAATTAGATTTATTTTGGTTCTACAGTTCTGTAGAATAAAAATAAAAAAAATCATTGAATTTGGTGAGGTGGTGGTTGAGATATTATCAAATTTTTGAAAACATTAAAACACCTATCAAAATGATGGGCGCAGCAAAATTTTATCAAACTTTGAGCAAAGTTATCTCAGCAGCCACCTAGCAAATTTGATAAATTTTTTATTTATTTTGATTCTACAGTATAGTCAAATCAATAATAATAATAATAATAATAATAATAATATTGAATTAAAATAATAATAATAATAATAATATTGAATTAAGTGGGCAACCATCTAAATATCTTTACTCAAATTCTTGAAAAAAATTTAAATTCTATGGGAGTATGATGCATCAAGAACACTACATTAATTTAAGGCATGATCTAGCCTATTTTGTATTTTCACTGTCCAGATGCAATGTCCATAGATTCTCCGCGATCAAAAATAATGCATTGCGTGTTTGTGATACACGCGTGACTATCTTTGCAATAATAATTATAATTATTATACTAAAAAAGGAAACTAATATAAAATAAAAAAATCGACAAATAATACGATCTATTCATTTTTGTTTTTTTGCTTCATTATTTATGATTGCAACTGTAGACTCATTTAACACCAATGATAGTTCTTTAATGAAAATTCCTTTAAATGTCATGGTTGCATGGAGAATGCATACGCATATCGTAAACTGTCAGCGTAAAAACGGCTATAAAGCATAGAAATCCCAAAAGGTGGCGACAAGAGTGTTTAGATTTTCATTACGCTTACTTACGCCGACATATGCTGGTACGTACACACATACGTATAGCAGCCTCCAAAAATTTGTAGAGGTTACACAGAAAAACAACAAAATTAACACAAATAATTGTTATATCGTAAATAAATCAACATTTTCCCTCTCATAATAGTTTATCCAAATGTTTTTTCAATTTCACAAATCCGGATTTAAGAAAAAGTACAATAAATAACTTGCCAATTTGTCAATTTAGTTATGGGGGGTTTTTTTTTTGTGAATCGTAGAATTTGTGTACAGGATAATATAAACTTTATGTCACTCAAATCTGTATCATCCGCATGGATTTCCGTAAATGGATGTTTTCACGCAAATTGTTAAATTAGTTTCTATAAAAGGAATTGATGAAAATCGCACTTTTCTAATGGTTCTTGCGATTGTTATTGTTAAACATCTCTAGCAATAAATAAGACGCCTCAAAAACAATTTCACCCATTTGAACGCTCACAATGAAACATATCTTAAGATTTTTACTTATCTTAATAATCGCGACGGTTTTTAAGTCCGTCGCGGTGAGCATAAATAATACCCTCGTGATTCGTTCTGCGACACCTACCGGAGATACAACATGGGACAATTGGAATGGAGAAGTTCATGTCACTCCAAGTGCCATTTTTAAACCATCTACACTTGATGACCTTAAAGACATTGTGAAATTAGCAAAGCAAAATGGAAAAACTATTCGATGCGCTGCCCAAGGACATAGTGTAAGTGATCTATCTTATACACAGAACTATCTGGTGATAGTTACAGAATTAACTCAGGTCACTGTGCAAGAAGATCCAAAATATGGCTGGACTGTTACTGCTGAAGCGGGTAAATGCTTTAAAACATAAAGATTCATTTGTGGTATTACATATATGAATAAATCATTTTGATTAAAAAAATAGGTACGCCATTATCAAAGCTTGATGATGTACTCCGAAAACATGACCCACCATTAACTCTCGACTCAGAGACTGTATTTGACTCATTTCGAGTATCCGGTGTTGTTGCGGTAGGTGCACATGGTGCAAAGACTAGTTCAGGTATTATATCAGATCAGATTGTCTCGATGAAGATTGTCACTGCCTCTGGTGACGTAGTCACATTTAGTGAAGAAATAGACAAACAAGAATTTAATGCTGCAAAAGTCAACCTAGGTAACTATAAGCTAATTCTTTTAAAATTTACTTTCCTTTAGTTAACTTTATAATTTTTTAGGTTTATTCGGTATAATTTATTCGGTGACTTTCCGTGTACAACCGATGTACAACCTTCGTATGACTGACACCCTTTATCCAGCAAAAGAATGGATTAAACCACAAAATATTAAAAATATTTTAGAAGTTTCTGATGGAATTGAAATATTTTATTGGCCATTCAATGGATTTAATCAGGGTGATCCATCTCATCCTGACCCTAGCAAAGATCTAATTTGGGTTAAGAATTGGGTACGAACTAATGAACCTGTGACTTTACCGCCAGAAGCACTCGCTCAATTACGTTACAATTATACACAAGGTATTATTCAACAGTATAATACTTTAAAATTCCTAATACCAAATCCTCTGTATACCCCGAATATTACTGCTTCGATATGGGATAGCAGTTTTGGTGCTGCCGGTAATACTAGTATGGTATTGAATGCTCCTGATGCTATGCATTACATACCTGCAGAAGAAAGTGCTTTGTTTAATCTGTGGGAAATTGGATTCAAAGTTGATCCGGATTTTTCTAATGTCGCCACTGAAATTTCTTTCATAATTCAAGCAGTGAGTTTTATTACTATAATTGAATTGTGTTAATTTACATTTATTGTTCTTTTTAATGACATTATTATATTTGCAGTTATATGATTTTGCAGCAAAAGGGAAATTTCCAGTAAACTACATTGCAGATTTTAGAATTATAAAATCAACTGAGGCTCTATTTTCCACTACTTTTGATCATGATCCAAAAGCATTATATTGTCAATTGGATCTCGAAACAGTTTACAATACTCCTTCCTGGGAAGAATTTATACAATCATTAGGGCAAAGATATTTTACTAATAAATACAATGCAAAGTAAGATAGTTATAATTCTTATTATTATGATTATTATTATGATTATTATTATTATTTGCAACTATTTTGATTGATTCACTTATTATTCTATATCATATAACTTATTTACTAAAGGCCTCATTGGGGAAAAGAATGGGAAACTACACCAGGCATTATACCTTATCTTTCTAAAGCCTTAAAAGAACCAATTAAACAATTTGAGAAAGTGCGTGCAAAGTATGACCCTAATAAAATGTTTTTCGATAATAAGTCCTTGCAGGACATATTTAGCGGTGCTTTAGGTCCGAAAAGTTAAATTGTGACCCAACAATATTAGAATTAGTTGGTCGAATAACATAAAGCATAATAACTTTTTTTATGAATATAGATTTTTTTATATCATTTATTCATGATTAATAGAAGTAATCATATATATATACGCGAAAGTAATGGATAACTCTTACATTTATATATATATAATTAATGAATTCTTTGTCTTATAATTATAATGACATGATTTTTATTATTAATATTTTTTCTTTTTATTTTTTTCCATTTATTTAGTTATTTCCACACAATCTTTATTATCTCACAAACACTATATTTGACCAATAGTATTTAACAAATTCAATTATCTTTAGTGTTATAAATCAAATAAGACCATTTGAATTTAAAACTTTATTTAATGTCATCGGTTTAATTTTAATTGTGGAGAATTTCTGGTTACGTGATCTACAAGTCGACCAATAAAAATCATAAATCAAATATTAAAGTACTAGTACGATAATATGAAATATGAAATGAAAGGGATGGTTTTTCCGTCCCATATATTTTTTCCTATCTTAGTAAGTACTATGGTTATCATGTTTTACTTACTATGATTATCATATATCGTCATCAAATTTTACACGAGTAAAAAAAGTTCACACCAAAAAAGAATAAAATGTAATAATGATCAAAAATGTAAACAAAAAAATAAAATATAAATAAATAAATATTTATGTTAGGAGTTTGTCAATGAAGTTTATTGTACAATTTATACAATTACGATCACATGAATGTGTAACTTGAAATGTGTAAGGGAATGGTTTCCGTTATGTTCATCATGCTAATTTTTGAAAAATCCTTTTTTAGTATAAGTAATGGTTTTCATTTATCCAAGAGTTAAGATAATACATACTGACACATGCCGGTTATGTTGGTCATAACTATAACCGAACTCTGGAGCATAATATTAGATAATCTTTTTTAAGTAATTAAAAACTGATAATTTACTACGTTAATGAGATGTTTACCAGGAACAGAATACGTATGAAATACGAAGTTTATGGTTTAGGCATCTGATTGGATGATCCTTCCTTGTGACTTTCTGTGCATGCGTTTGCTATGATGATCATTACCTAAATTTATTATACTATATTATACCAGGAATGGTGTTTGTACAACGTACCTTGTGACTTTGTGTAGCACCCAAACAATGATACGATTTCTATAAATATGTTTAAAGTGTTTAAATTGGATTTGGTGAAATATGAGTGCTGCCAAGGGAAAAAGGCCGTTCGGACTTTCGAGTAAATTATAATCTAATATACTTGAAAGTCCGAACGGCCTTTTTCCCTTGGCAGCACTCATATAACCAATGCAAGTTATATCTTGTACCAGGAACGGAGTGCAACGAAGCGTATTGTTTTATGGTGAGTGAAGTGCCTCTGCATTATATATGCTCCTAAAAATTTTATTTGTTCTTTGGTGATTTGCGTCACCATACATTACATATTGTGAGCCCGATTTTTTGGGAATCACGAGGGCCCGAATCGAAACGACGATCCCTACCCGATTCGAAGTCACGTGAAAAGTAACTTCTGTTACTTCTCTTACTTCCGTTACTTCTGTTACTTACGCTATGTCTTTTACTTATGAGATAAATGAGATATCGGCTTTTATCAAATATAATTAAGATATAACGGATATTACAATATTTAGTGATGTTCCATTTATATAATATCCAAAAAATTTTTTCGGTACAGTACATACTTTACGTATTTAATGATTTGATTATCTGGTATAAAGACAGATTGCAGATATTTTATACTATATTTTCTTTTTGGATGTGTTGTATTGTACTTAAATATAGATGTACTATATTATACAATATACATATTGGTGCTATACATCTTATATATTATATAAATAAGTACTGCATTATAATGAATTAAATAATATGAATATCAGTACAATATGGTTAATATTATGAATATACTCATAATATATATATTGCATCTGAAATAATAATTTATCTAAAGCAGATATTTTATATATTAAAAGTAATGCTTTGGTTAAAATTATAATCTAATGTATGCATGAAGATCTAATTTAAAAGACTTAATTTTAGCTAGTTGTTATTTTAGATAAATTATTATTTTAGATATTATATATATATATTAGAAATTATTATATTTGCACATTATATAAAGCTGTGCATAGGTTTTGTATTACATAACACATATGATACAAATATATAATCATATACATTGAAATAAAAAAATAATCGATAACATAATTGTAAACTTATATAAATACTGTAAAATAAAATAATTCTCTTACTTGTTTGGTAGTAAATAAAAACCAAAAAAATAAATCAAAATTAAGAATCATATAAATAAATATAACAAATATAGATATTTGTTAAACAGTATACAGCTTTGAAATATTATATTTATCAGATATAGTTTAAAAATTTTAAGAATTTTTATACTTTTTATAAGGCACATACTTCTAACTAATATATAACAATGGAATTTGAAAAGATAACTAATTATTTTAAACTAATGATATTATAAAAAAAATCAAAGTATTGGTTTTGATGAGTTACCTGTATGTGGCTTTTGAAAATTTGTTTTATCATTATTATATATAGTCTTAAATAACTATATAATTTTGCATTTATGTTTTATAAGTAATTTGTTTCTAATCAAGTTATACTAATACAAATTGAGAAGACAGTTAATTATTTTAAATAAATCTTGTTATAAAGAGATTAGAATATTAACCTTGATAAGTTATTAGTATGTGTTTTAAAAAATTATATATATTTTTGAGATTTTAAATAATGATATAACTTTATATTTACTTTTTTCTAGCAGTATGCTTCTAGTCAATATATAATAGAATTTGAAAAGATATATGATAACTTAAAACTAATTTTACTACAAAGTAAAGAAAAAGAAAATTCACCTATTGTTTTTAATAAGTAGGAGTATGATGTATATAAAGTAAATAAAAACCTTCATAAATGCATATCCATAAATGTATATTTTCTTTTTTTGGTATTAAGATGAGGTCTTGCTCATATTTTTATTGATGTTTAAAAATTAGTAGCTACATGAAGCTGCTATATACAAAAAGTAATTTTTTATATAAATGTTATGGCTAAAACTAACACTTGTAGTCAGTGTTAAACCATTAAACTGCTAACTATATAGCTACTTTAAGTACAAATAAAAGAAAAACTATATTCAAGAATAAAAGCTCAGACATATTTATCTGTGACCTAAACCTACTAGAG